TTTCTTTTTTTTAGAAACAGGGCAGGATATTACTCTGTCACAGGTGCAGTGGTACAATTTCAACTCAAATGATCCTCCTGCCTCAGCTTCCCAAGTAGCTGAGACTACAGATGCACACCACCATGGCTGGCTAATTTTTGTATATTTTTTTTTTTTTAGAGACTGGGTTTTGCCATGTTGCCCAGGCTGGTTTTGAACCCCTGAGCTCAAGCTGTCCACCTGCCCTGGCCTCCCAGAGTGCTGGGATCACAGGCATGAACCACTGCGCCTGACCCATTTTCTATTCCTGGGTGTCTTTGGCTTTGCTGCTATCAAAGTAGTGCTGGCCTCATAGAATGAATTAAGAGTGTATTTTTTGATATTTGAGACAGATTGATGCTAATTATTTAAATGTTTGGTAGAATTCACTAATAAAACCGTCTGATACAGTCCTTTTTCTTTACGGGGAGAATTTTGATTACTGTTTCAATCTCTTTAGTTGTCATGGGTCTGTTAAGATTTTCTATATCTTGAGACAGTTTTGGTTATGTATATGTTTCTAGGAATTTTCCATTGCATCTATGTTGTCTAGTTGGTGTATGGTTGTTCAGTATATTCTCCTATAATCCTTTTTAATTCTGTGAGATGTAATATCCTCAATTTCATTTTTGGATTAGTTATTTGTGTCTTCTTTTTTTCTTAGTCTAAACCATAGGTTTGTCAATTTTGTTATTCTTTTCAAAGAATCACCTTTTGGTTTTGTTGATTCTATTGTTCTCTATTTCATTTATCTTCATCCTAGTCTTTATTTTCTTTCTTTTGCTTTGAATTTAGTTCTTTTTCTGTTTCTAAAGTATAAAGTTAGGTTATTGATTTGAGCTCTTTCTTCTTTTTTAATATAGACTGTTAGCAGCTATAACTTTCCCTCTGAGTACTGCTTTCACAGCATCGCATAAGTTTTGGTATGTTGTGGCCTTGTGTTCATTTCTCTCAAAGTATTTTCTAATTTCCCTAGTGATTTCTTCTTTTTCCCATTGGTTATTTAAGAGTGTGTTGTTTAATTTCCATACACTTGTGAGTTTTCCAGCTTTTCTGCTGTCATTAATTTCTAGCTTCTTTCCATTGTGGTTGGTGAAGATATTTTATGTGATTCTAGTCTTTCTAAATTTATTAAGATTTGTTTTGTGGCCTAACATATAATCTGTCCTGGAGAATGTTTCATGTACACTTGATAAAAATATGCATGCTGCTCTTGTGGAATGGAGTATTCTTCATATGCCTGACAGCTCTAATTGGTGTATAGTGTTGTTCAAGTTCCCTATGTCCTTTTTAATCTCTGCACAAGTTTTATCCATTACTTAAAGTGGGATATTGAAGTCTCCATTTATTATTGTAGGACTGTTTATATCTGACCTCAGTTCTTTCAGTATTTTCTTTATATATTTTGGGGCTCTGTTGTCTGGTACATATATTATTATAAATGTTATATCATCTTTTTGAATCAACCCTTTTGTCAATATATTATATAATGAGCTTCTTTATCTCTTGTAACAGTTGTTGACTGTAAGTTACTTTTGTCTGATAGTAGTATAGCCATTCATTACAAACATCCTTTTACATTCAACCTTTTTGTGTCTTTTGCTCTAAAATGAGCCTCTCTTACAGACAGCATATAGTTAGATCATGTGTTTTGTTCATTCTGACAGTCTATCTTTTAATTGGTGAGTTTAATCCAATTATATTTAAGTGATTGCTGATAAGCAAGGACTTATGCCATTTTGCTGTTTGTTTTCTCTACCTATGTCTTAACGTCTTTTGTTCTTCATCTCCTCTAATACTGCCTTTGTGATTTTTTTTCCTAGTGTGCCATTTTCATGCTTTCCTCATTTCTGTTTCTGTATACAATTATTTTCTTAGTGGTTACCATGGGGATTATAGTTAACATTCATACATTTTTAACAATCTAGTTTGATTTAACCCCAGCTTAAATTTTAAAAACCCTGCTTGTTTGGTTTCAGTTGAGGCCCCAGTCTTAGCATCATGCAGCATATCCATGTAACGGAACTGCACTGTACCCTCAAATCTAAAATATAAATAAATAAATAATAAAAGCTTTGCTAATGACAATAAAGGAAAAAGCTACACAGCTCTGTTCCCCCTTTATGTTGTTACAGTCACAAATTATATTTGTACGTTGTGTGCCCACTAATATAGATATATAATTCTGCATTTGTCTTTTAAGTCATATAGGAAACAAAAAGAGAAGTTAAAAATAAATAATACAATAACACTGGCTTTTACATTTATTCATGTAGTTAGCTTTATTGGAGTTCTTATTTCTTTATGTGACTTCGAGTTATTGTCTAGGGTCCCTTCATTTCAGCCTGAAGGGACTCCCTTAAACATTTGTTTTAGGACTGGTATACTAACAGTGAATGTCCTCTGCTTTTGTTTACCTGGGAATGTCTTATTTCTCCACTTTTGAAAAATAGTTTTGCAGGATATAGAATTCTTGGTTGATAGGGGGTTTTTTTGGCTCAACACTCTAAATATGTTAACCCATTTCCTTCTGGTCTGCAACTTAGCTGGGTGGTTTTGGCTGATAGTCCCTCACAAGTTTGCAGTCAAACTAGTTGGCAAGAGCTGCAGTGATTTTTAAGGTTGCGCTACAGCTCAGTAATCCACGTCTGAGCTCAGCACATGGTTGTTGGCAGGCCTCACTTCTTCATTGTTGTGAAGCTTCCATTCCTCACACCTGGGCCTCACCACAGTGCTGCTCACAACATGGCAACTGGCTTCCCACAGAGCAAGAGATCCACGAAGGAAAGACACCCTCCCTCACCACCAATGTTGTGATTGTTTTGTTTTGTTGTGATTGTTTTGTATTTTTGTTTTTGGATACTTTTGGTATTATTTATATAACACTGAGATAATCATACTTCTTGCATGAGAGAGAGAAATTTGAACCACGGATAATTCTTTAGTGGAGAGGAATTGATTTGCCTTTCCCTAAAAGCATTGCTACTAATTGCTTTACTCAGCCTTAGAAATGGAAGTAACAGACTTCAAGAAACTTCACACAGCCTTGGAATGGAACAGCACACCCTTATAGATAACCTTCTCTTCTCCCTCCTCCCTCATACATCTGTCCTTCCTGGTCAAAGAGACATGAAAATAAGCTTTCTGGGCATCCAGGACTTTTAAAATGTCACTGTAAACTACTTTCCCATTGGTGGTTTGTTTTATGGAGGAAATGTGTCCTTTTTGATTAAAAACTCTGTGTGTGTGTGTGTGTGTGTGTGTGTGTGCGCGTGCGCGTGCGTGTGTGTGTGTGTGTGTGTGTGTGTGTTAGAGAGAGAGACACTTGAGTAATTCTTCCTTAGGTCATATTCTTCACTCAGAAAACCAATCAGCTCTTTACTGTACACCTGTGCTGCTTGAAGTGCCATAGTAGGTTCAAAGGGGAGCAAAATCAAGAGTTGCATGAAACAATTCCCACTCTCAAGTAGCTTTTAGTATAAAGGGGGAAATATGAGAGAACCTCAGTGGGGGAAAAATACAAGACGGCATTTATGCCCCAGAGCAGTGGTCGCCACAGTATTGGTAAGACAGATGCTTACATTTTCCTTATGTAATCATATAAAAAGGAGACGAAAAATATGGAAGTAGCCAGGAAAGAAAATGAAAAATCTTTGTACTTGTGTTAGTTTTTCAGATCTAGTAAAGTATTTCCAGCATAATTATGTTTGAGAACTTTAGATGTCCCGTTTGTAGGGCCAGAGTCTCACTTAGCCCCTCATTAAATAAGTGAGAATAAAACTGCCCATCAATAATCGGACAGTTTTAGTCTCACTTATTTAATTATTGTTCCCATATGAAAGGACCATTACGTCCACATTTTTCCTAATTTTGAAAAAGTAAGTTAGGTTTGTGTTTACAGTTTTATATCTACTGTTTTAAAATTATTTCAGTATTTATAGAGAGCTTCATAAAATGAATTAGCCATTGGCTCATGGTAAGAATAGTAATGCAAGCCGGTCTACCAGTATGCCAGCTACCTTTTGTGTTTGAAGATGGCAAGATAACTGGTGTTTCTTCTGCTTGAGTAGACGCTTCTGGAAGAAGAGGCTTGGAATAATTAGGAAGTCAGCCTCTTGCAAGATGGCCGGCCCTTAGCAATTGCATCTCTCCTCTGATGGACTATATAGGCAGGTTTTTAATATTCCATGTAAGGGTAGTTCTGCAGTCTCTCTGGATTATGATTGTAATTGTTCTGAAATAGAAGACTGTGTATGCAAGACGTTTTCAGCATCATTCTGGTCTTAAGCAGATTGTGGGCTGGAGCTTGACCTATAATACAAAAACAGTGGGCCAGGCCTGATGGATCATGCCCATAATCTCAGCACTTTGAGAGGCTGAGGTGGGCAGATCACCTAAGATCAGGAGTTCCAGACCAGCCTGGCCAACATGGTGAAACCCCGTGTCTTCTAAAAACACAAAAATTAGCCAGGCATGGTAGCGGGCACCTGTAATTCCAGCTGCTAGGGAGGCTGAGGCAAGAGAATCATTTGAACCTGGGAGACGGCGGTTGCAGTGAACTGAGATTGTGCCACTGCATCCAGCCTGGGCAGTGAGAAAAAACTACATCTCAAAAACAACAATAGTGGGCTTGCCTCTGGGAAACTACCCCCACATCCTAAAATACATGGAAATCAGAAAGGGCAACCTGTACCACATTTTTATACTTAGGAATTAAGTCATATTTTTCTTTTCGTGTACATTATTTAGACATATTTATAGATTCATATTTACTCCATGCAATTTAATAACCTCAACTAGGGCTTTACATTTTAGTTTCCCCTCCCCCAATGAAATCTATAATACTGACTCCTTTATTAACAATGTTCCACGTTTGAATATGTTGTCTTCTTTCTTCTTGACTACTACTATTAAACTTCTGGTTGTTTCATCCTTTTAATAAAAAATGAATTCTGAATTTTTATTTAATTTTTCTCTCCTAGACAGTTAAATCTCACACAGAAACAGATGAGAAACAAACAGAAAGCCGCACCATCACCCCACCTGCTGCACCCAAACCAAAACGGGAGGAGAACCCTCAGGTAGGCCTATGTCTCCAAAGGCAAGGCCCTGGCTACAGTGTATAGTTTATTCTCATGTACCAGGAGGGGCACCTGCTCTCCGAATGAGGAAATGAACCTGATGTTCATTTTCTTAGGCTCTTTTATTATTCAACAACATGATTACCAAGTCAGATTGGTCTAGAGTGGAATTGTTAAGACTGTGATCTTAAGGGTCCATGCGCTGCACATAGGCATTTTGATTGTATCAAAGAAAATGGTTTTTTTTAAAGTGTTATTATTTTTCATATGCATGTTACAAATTCAGAATGTTAAGATGAATGATGATTTTCCCAGCTGTCCCATTACATTCCTAATCATTACTGTGTTCTGTTTGTCTCAGCCAACATTTTTAAGATGTCCAGTTCACTCAGCTAATGTGTATTTATATTATCAATTACAGTTATTAAATGTACATTTTTGGTATAACCATTATATTGCATTAGAACCCCAAATCCCAAATGAATCAGTAGCTCAAAAGTAATCCATTGAAGCATAAAAGTAGGGATGAAAATAGTAACATCTATACTACAATTTAGGATAGAATTATAAACATAAATAGCAAAGAAGACCCTGATACAAATATAGAATGTGAATCTGTATGTCCTTAGACAAACAAATTTTTTTAATTTGATGTTTTGGCATAAGCAGCTATAAATGGAAAATGTAGACAGGTAATATGATGATGAATATCTGACACTTAGATTTCATTTGACCAGTAATTCACTTGCCTCTGTCCTCAGTGCATTCTTTGTAATGAAACCATGTGAAATGGTGGCATGAAGCCATCAAAGCTTCATGTCATTTTTTTAAAGCAGTAATTTATTGAGCCATTCCAGGTTTCCTAAAACAAGCACAAAATATAATTCTTTCTGATATGAAATGAATGAATTTTTAATTTTATCTTTAAAAAGAGGACTAAAATTTGAGCCAAAAAGAAGTACTAGTCACAAAAATTGCTGAGGAACTTGTGAAATCATCAAAGAATTGATGACAAATATTATACTTTGAAGAGGAAAAATTGAGCAAAATTTCCCTGTCAAAGGAAACTGAAGAATCCATCCTGGGCAACACAGTGAGACTTTGTCTCTGCAAAAAATAAACAAAATTAGCCAGACGTGGTAGCGCACGCCTGTGTCCTAGCTACTTAGGAGGCTGAGGTAGGAGGATCACTTGAGCCTGGGAGGTGTAGGCTGCAGCGAGCTGAGATGGTGCCACTGCACTCCAGCCTAGGTGACAGAGCGAGGCCCAGTGTGGGCAAGCGAGTACCATCATGTGTAGTAGCAGATATTTCACCTTCTAGTTGGACAGAATCACAGTCATAAACAAAGTAAATTAGCTCTTAGCATATGTGGGATACATATGTGAGGTAAAATTTCTTGACAGCTTTTTAGTGTATCATCAAAAACTTTTCCACAAGAGAGGAAATATTTTTTCACTTAATAATTATTTTGTGAGCTTGATCTAAACTGGCAAAGATGATTTGGGTGTGAGTGGCTAAGAAGGGTGCTGTTACTTGCTTAAAAGAGGGTGAATCTGAATGTCGGTCTGTACACTGCTTTATCAAGAGAGCAGCTGGGGGAAGGCCTCTTGATCTTGATTATATTTCTAAGGAATAGTGAAAATTAGGAATGTAGTCAGTTGGTAGTCATAAAGTATATCTCATTTCAACATAGTTTAGAAAACAGGAAAGTCACGCTGGGCGTGGTGGCTCACGCCTGTAATCCAAGCACTTTGGAGGCCAAGGTGGGCGAATCACCTGAGGTTGGGAGTTCAAGACCAGCCTGACCAACATGGTGAAACCCTGTCTTAAAAAAAAAAAAAAAAAAAAAAAACACAGGAAAGTCCAAGACTGCTTTTTCTTACTAGACTGATCTGGCTGTCAAGGGGATAGGTGCTCATCTAAGTTTTTTTGAAATAAGAAATAATATAAAAACATTTCTTCAGGACTCTGAAGATACCAGTAAAGGACATTTCTGTGTTCTCAAGTGGCTTGCTCGAGAAGTTTATCTTCAAATAGGCTGAACCTATCACTTCAGGCCAAAGTAGTGTAATATCAAGAATAAGATGTCAGGACTTTTAAAGATCAAACTGTGGTATAAATAACTCTAAGGAGTATGTCTTTTACAATTGAAGGTGTTCTTTATTCATCAGAGAAAGAAATTGATAATGTATTATTTGGCGTATTTAGAAACTGCATGCAGTAGTACAACAGAAAATGAAGACACGCTTTTCAGAACACATGCAAACAAAGAAAAGAGTAGAAATCAGTCGGTTACCCTCTCTGGCTTGAAGAGTCTTAGCATTGCATCTTTAGGGCCCAGTATTTTCACCAGCTTAGCTTCTGAAGGAGCCCTAAGAGTGATCTTCAGAGAGAAATTGCTCCATAATTTTTAGGCTCATGTGTGATTGAAAAATCATAGCATTCAGCAGAACCACCTGCCGTCATTCCTAAAAATCATTTAGCTGTGAGTTAGCATTGTGGCAGTATAAATGTGAGAAGTTGTGGCCTAGTCATGACAAGTGAAACACTCAGAACTTGGAGCTTGTTAAATGGGAAGCTCTTTAAAACCCTCTGCATGTTTTGTGAGTATGAAATCCTGTTCTTTTTAAGAGGATTTTTCTGCAGGGTGGGGAACTCAGATCACACAGATACTGATTTCTGTCATTGAGAAAGGAGATGTAGGCCCCAGTCCTTCTCTTTTGGCCCTGTTAAACCAGAGAGCCTCGAGAGCAAGGTTTCTAACCCGTGGCCCATGGGCCACATGCGGCCCAGGATGGCTTCAAATGCGGCCCCACACAAATTCGTAAGCTTTCTTAAAACATCATGAGATTTTTATTTGTGATTTTTTTTTAAAGTTCATCAGCTGTCATTAGTATTAGTATATTTTATGTGTGGCTCAAGACAGTTCTTCTTCCAATGTGGCCCTCACTGAAGGAAGCCAAGAGCTTGCACACCCTGCTATAGAGGATCTCCATGGCTCCTTAGAGAATGCCTGCTCTTTGTGCATTCAAGTGACCCGCCCCCGGCTGGCTTTCCCTGGTGTCTTAGTGGGAACTGGCAGTTGGCTTTGTGAGAACCCAGACTGAAGTATATTCTTCTTTTGTTTCTCTGGCGCAGAAACTTGCCTTCATGGTGTCTCTAGGGTTGGTAACACATGACCATCTAGAAGGTAAGAGAAGATATTCTTGGCACTGTCTTTTTTTCTGGCCTACAGCTTTGTTCCTGAAAATGGTGTCTGATTGAATTCCTAGAATAGAAAATTGGAACACAAATAGAGGATGATTCAGCCAGTGTAGACTTTATTTCCTTTAGTGGGAAAATTGCCTGCCCTCTGTCAAGAATTGCCTATTCTTGTCATTATCCACACAACTGTCCTGGGAAAACCTCCCCAGTTGCCTAAATTAAGGTGACTTCTGTTCATTTAGGGGAGCTCTTCTTTTTCTGAACAGCAGAAAGTAGCAAGTGCTCTTCTGACAGGTCTATATATTCTGGTCATTCTGGGTTATCAGAATATTGAGAACAGTTACAAATCTGTACCTGTCCTGGTTATTTAATTAAAGAATGATGAACTTTGGTTACTCAGTTTAAGTCTTATGGATAAAGCTCATTCAGACCTATATATACAGCAGTCTAAAAATAAATCAGGACCACTTGTTTACAAATGTTTTCTATTGTTAAACTCTCAACAGAGAGCCACGTGTGGGACAGCGTGGTCTTGCAGGGGAGAGTAGATGGTTCTACATATTTGCTTCCAATAGTGTCCTTGCCTCTGTTGAGGCTTTGGTGAGACAGAGAGGTGTCCCTATTTCCGATTTCTTATGGGAAAACCAATAGATAAAACAATGAAGTTTTTTAGGTTCTCCATGCCTCTCTTCTAATCAAAACCTTTTCTTCTCTCAAGAAATCCAAAGCAAGAGACAAGAGCGAAAAAGAAGAACAACAGCAAATCCGGTCTACAGCGGAGCAGTCTTTGAGCCAGAGGTATTACTGGCCAGTACCTGGCCCTTCCCTCACTGTTTCAGTTTTCTTTATGACTTGTTCAGTGCTTCCCCTCTGAAAACCTGCTGAAGAGCGACACCCTGATTGTACTTGGTCAGTTTTGTGAAGTGGGGGATTTTTTTTTTTTTTGCCTTACCATTTTTATTAGTCACTGCTTCCCCTTAGGTTTTTTTCCCTAAGTTTCAGCAGATACACTCCTACCTTAAAATTTTAATTCATCCTGACTTCAATACAGCTGCATTGGCAACAGAGGCAGACTTCTCTGAAATAGTCTCTGAGAGCCAAGTACATATAATAAAACCCTTGAGCACTGAGACTTTAGGATGATTAGCACTAACTAGTCGGCATGGTGACGGTCATGCTGTGCTTGGTCTTTAGCTTGTGCCAGTATTAGTAATTACCACACTATTCAACCAGTCACCTTTCCTTCTTCAATCCTCAAAGCGTAAGAAGAGTGCAGTCACATACCTAAACAGCACAATGCACCCTGGGACCCGGAAGAGAGGTGAGGACCCTTTTGTATCACTCCCGTGCTGCTGTTACTTTTGCTTTCTGTGTGTGTTTCTTCTCCTTCCCTCCTCCCATCATTATGGGACCTAACTCCTCTATCCCTTGAAAACTGTTTTGTTGTTGTTCTCTGAGAATGGGAGAGAAAAGAGAATGAGATTTCTTATTAGAGTTCTGTATGCTGACTCAAAAGCTGACTTTCCTAGGATTCTGGCAAAGCTGACTCAGGGGAATGGCTTAATGTAGCATTTCTGCCCCAAGCCTGCCAGGCCGTTCATGAATAGCACAGTGAACAGAACACCATGTAAAAGGAAGCATTTGAGTGTCATTAAGTGAACAGAGCACTGCCGTTGCCAGGGTGTTCCTAATAGTGTCTTGGTCGTTCTGCTGCCAGCGAGGCCAGAGTGTGACTCTGAGTTTCTTAGAGCTGCAAACTTTCCAAGAAGGAAAGAGGTAGCCACACTTGAGAACTTAGAATCTTTGATAAGAGGACATCTCCAGCTAAGGAAGAAAAGATCATTGTCAAAACAGGCTCCCTAAAGAACAGATTCCTAAAGAGCTCCAGTGCCATATTTCAAACCTTCCTATGGGCATTCCAGAAACTTACTCTTAGGCAGAGCAGAAAAAATAGCAGCAGCAGCATCTTTCACCATGCAGGTCTAAATAGGTCTTAACAGCTCAGGGTTTGAGCTCATAAACAAGGTACTGAAATTGTTCTTTGATGTCAGTAATACATCCCAAGGTCCTTTTCTCCACATGGTAATGTGTCCCTGAATTATAGTTCCAGGCTAGAAAGGTTGCAGAGTGAGTGGAGTAGCATACTAATTTTTGCGTATGCACACATAGTCTCAGAGCTATTGGAAGCTCAGGAGGTCATCCTGACCCTTTGTCTGCCTTAGGCAGGACTACACTATTACCATTCCCTCCCCACAAAAGAGATTTCATACCCACCCTTAGCAACCCATTCTGTTGTTTCATCAGTCCTGTCCTTCAAGTACTCAAAAATATTTAGATGGGAAACCCTAAGTCATTGTGTTATATTGATTCCTGGGCCACAGTAACCAGTACTGTAAGTTATTTTTGTTTTGTCTTGTGTTTGGTAATATTTTTTTTAGTGACCCCTGATGCAGTTCTTGGAAAGGAGCCCCCCAGCCAGAGGCCACAGTAATTGGTCTATGATAGTGGGGAGTATCTGCTAAGAGGACAGGGGTTAAATGAGCCAGAAAGACCTTGGCATCTCTTGCCAAGGTCAGAGGATAAAAGCCTATATCCACAGTGCCTGGGATATGCCTTTCGTGGGTAAACAAGAGAGCCTTCATCTTGTTCTTCCCCTTCCAGCAGCACTGAACTCCCTAGAAAAGACAAACCAGTAAGATCTGGCTTTGTACTATAGGCATCGCCAATAGAACACAGAGGTAATATTTTTGTAACATCTGACAGAATCATGATTCTTGTACATAATCCTGATATAAATTATAACTGTTGGCAAAGTCATGATCCTACATACCATTTACCAGTGCTTATTGGCAGTTTTGTACCTCTCTGGCTCTTTTTTTCCCTTTGGTGTGTTGGGCATATACTTTTGATCACTCACAGCTTAGAAGCTATGACCTTGGCCCTTAGAAGACAAGGGCCCTGACTTAGTTATATGGTAAGGCAAGAGTGGCTGACCTAGACTTTCTGTACCCACGCGGCTCATTTAAGATCCTTTGTAGCCTTAAGGTTTGAGTCACAATGCTTTTATACTAGTCAGGTCTCTCTGTTGTGCTGATGGCAGGGCCTTTCCTGAGACTTTTAAACAGCCCCAATTTTTAGACATGTAGTCCATCAGAATGCTTATAATGTAAAATGGGGGGACAACTGCCAGTCAACTGGGGAGAATATCCAGGAACAGAAATACTTAAATTCATTGCCAAGCCCAGAGCATCTTTCAAGCTCTTAGGTTTCAGCTACTCCCAGGACACATCTCAATAACTCTGACAGCAAGGGGCAAGAATAGTTAACTTGAATTTTGCCTCCTCACTTTGCCTGTCTCCAGCCTTATAAAATGCAGACAGAAGAGAGAATGAAAAGCAGAAATCCTAAATAAATCAGTTTGTGGGAACTGAGAATCATTAATAGTATTGTGAGAATGCTGATTGCAGAGTAACCTTAAAGAACAGTATCCAAAAGATATGAAAAATTAAAATAAACTCATTCCTGGCTCTGGCTCCCACTGGGCTTTCACATCTTGGTTCTTGCACTAGAAATCTCAGATTGCAATAGTCCAGGAACTTCTCCACAATCTGCCCAAGGTGAGGTCTTTCTACATAAGCCAGCACCTTCTGTCATTCTCCAGAGCTCTCTTATCCTCCCTTCTCTTGAGAGTCATGTAGTTGTTTCTAATGACATTTAAATCTTTGCTTCTCTTCCTTCCTTTTGGACTGTTGTATTAACCTTCTGTCTGCTACCTCACTTCCTTTTCCATGCTAGCCAATGAGGAACACTGGCCAAAGGTATGTAAGATCATTTTCCCCCTCTCTTTCCCTCCCCCTTTTTCCCTTTTGTTCCCTTCTCTTGGTATATAGGTCGTCCTCCAAAATACAATGCAGTGCTGGGGTTTGGAGCCCTTACCCCAACATCCCCCCAATCCAGTCATCCTGACTCCCCTGAAAATGAAAAGACAGAGACCACATTCACTTTCCCTGCACCTGTTCAGCCTGTGTCCCTGCCCAGCCCCACCTCCACAGACGTAAGTAACTTGGGAAAAGCACACTCTCTTTCTGAGAGCTTAAATTGGGAAAAGCGTTATCATATGTTGTCTCCTTATCAACATGCACCTTCTTGACTAACCCTGGAACAGCAATAAACCCTATAGAATGCTATTTATGCCATGTAAGGCAGCTTTCCTCTGAGGTTCTAGGCCTTCCACGTCCTTGAGAATCATGTTAAATATAACCTCATGGAGCTCAGCCAGCCGTCAGAGTCTGAATTTGATCTATTGTGAATGAGTTCTTAGAAAACAGATGGGGCGGGGAAATCAGCTCATACAATTGAGAGTTGTGCAGGTTTCTGTCATCAGTGTTTTGGGAGTGGGGAAAATGAACAAGGCATACAGTCCCCCAGCAGCCCTTGTTTGCTGCTTCAAATACAATTCCAGAAGTGGAAAGTTTTCTTTAGAGCAACTGTATTCAGCAGAGTTGATCAGAAACAGGTTCCTGGAAAACTGTCAAATACTTAGTAGGTCTTTACCCACAAACTACAGGAATGTGGACTAGTGCTCTAAGTGTTTAAATGAGCCTCAGCAAAGCTCAGAATTCACTCAGCAGATACTCACTGAGCACTACTCTGCTGAGTAAGTGCTGTTCTTGAGGCTGGGGACATGGCAGGGAAGAAAACCAATTCCCTGTCCTCATCTGAAGAGGCAGATGATAAGAAAGTGAATATATAATATGTCAGGTAATAAGTGCTCTGAAGAGAAATGAGGCCAGGCATGGTGGCTCACGCCTGTAATCCTAACACTTTGGAAGGCCGAGGAGATGGATCATCTGAAGTCAGGAGTTTAAGACCAGCCTGCCCAACATGGCGAAACCCCATCTCTAAAAAAACACAAAAATTAGCCGGATGTGGTGGTGCACTCCTGTAATCCCAGCTACTCAGGAGGCTGAGGCAGGAGAATCACTGGAACCCAGGAGGCGTAGGTTGCAGTGAGCCAATATTGCACCACTACACTCCAGCCTGGGTGACAAGAGTGAGACTCCATCTAAAAAAAAAAAAAAAGAAAAAGAAAAGAAAAATGGAATAGATTAATGGCATACAGCATACTGGCAGGAGGCTGATGTTTATGAAGACTGGTAAAGCCTCTCTGATAGGAAGTGAAGGAGTGAACCATGGGAGGATCTGGGGGAAGAGCCTGCCAGGCAGAGGGACCAGCATTGCAAGCCCTGAGGTATGAGTATGCATGGCATCTGGAAAGAAAAGCAAGAAAGCCAGGATAGCCGGGGCAGTGCTAGCTGGTGGGAGATGAGGCCTCAGAGGTGACTGGAACAGTTGTGCAGGGCTTTGGGGCTTTTGTTCTCAGTAAAATGGTAGATCATTACAGGGTTTTGGGGAGAGGAGTGATGTAATTTTTCAATATTTATTTTGAAAAATTTCCAACCTACAGAAGAATTTCAATAGTGGTACAGAGAACCAGTATCCCTCACATTGATTCACCAGTTGTTGACATTTTGCCACATACGCTTCTCACCTACCGTACACACTTATTTTGGGGGAACCAGATAACAGGAAGTTGCAGACCTCCTGAATCTTCACCCTAAAATATTTCATTATCTATCTCCTAGGAGTAAAGATACTCTCTTATATAGCTACAATGCATTTATCAAATTGAGGAAATTTAATACTGATACAATATTAGTATATAAAATATGCAGTCCATACTCAGATTGTTCCAATTGTCCATACTTGCTTTTGTGACACTTTGTTTTTTCTGCTCCAAGGTGCAATTCAAGATTACTCTTGACATTTATTGTCATGATATTGTCTATTTGCTAATCCTTTATTCTAGAACAGTTTCTCACCCTTTGTCTTTCATAACATTGATATTTTTAAAAAGCCAGTTCCTCTGTAGAGTGCCTCTCCATTTGGATTGTCTGATTTTTTTTTCTGAGCGTAGATTCAGGGTATGCATTTTTAGAGGAACACTAATACATGACGATGGGTCATTATCAGTGCATCACAGCAGGAGGCACATGATGTCAGTCTCCCCTGTTGTTGATGATGTTAACTTTCATCTCCTAAGATAGGTTCTATCAGATTTTTCCACCTTTAAATGCGCCTTTTTCCTGGGGTGGAGATAGCTTTGAGTCTGTATACATATCCAGTCTCCCAACAAACTGTTACCCAATGTTTTTAGCATCCTTTCACGATTCCTGCCTGCATTTATTATTTTTAAGGTGTATGCAAAATCAACTTGATTTTGAAAGGATCGCTGTGTCTAAACTATGGAGAAGAAAAGGGCTATAGGGAAAATAGGATGGAAGCCAGAAGACCGGTTAGGAGGCTGTTGCAATTGTCCAGGCAAGAGATGATGACGGGCAGGCACAGTGGCTCACGCCCGTAAATCCTAACACTTTGGGAGGCCGAGGTGGGCAGATTGCTTGAGCCCAGGAGTTCAAGACCAGCCTGGGCAACATGGCAAGACCCCTGTCTCTACAAACTTTTAAAAATTAGCTAGAGGCCAGGTGCAGTGGCTCACACCTGTAATCCCAGCACTTTGGGAGGCCAAGGCAGGTGGATCACAAAGTCAGGAGTTCAAGACCAGCCTGACCAACTTGGTGAAACCCCATCTCTACTTAAAAATACAAAAATTAGCTGGGCATAGTGGTGTGTGCCTGTAATCCCAGTTACTCAGGAGGCTGAGGCAGGAGAATCACTTGAACCCAGGAGGCAGAGGTTACAGTGAGCTGAGATTGTGCCGTTGCACTACAGTCAGAGCAACAGAGTGAGACTCCGTCTTAAAAGAAAAAATAGGTGTGGTGGTAACATAGTGAAACCCTGTCTCTACTAAATATACAAAAATTAATTGGGCATACTGGTGTGCACCTATAGTCCCAGCTGCTTGTGAGGCTGCGGTGGGAGGATCACTGGAGCATGGGAGGTTGAGGCTGCAGTGAGCCGTGATTGTGCCGCTGCACTCCAGCCTGGGTGACAGAACAAGACCATCTCAAAAAAAAAAAAAAGGAAAGAAAGATGATGGTGATAGCTTAGCCTAATCTGATGGAAGAAGCAGAGATGGAGAAAAGTGATCACGTCTGCATATATTTTGAAGAACCATCAGGATTGAATATGGGTTATGAGAAACAGAATGGTCAAGGATAAGGATAAATCCAAAGTTTTTGGCCTAAATGACTAGAAAGATGAAGCTTCCATTTACTAAAGAGTAAGAGAGGAGCAGATCTGAGGAGGGAAACCGAGAGTTTCATTTCACACACATCCCAGTTCTTTGGTAAATTACAGAGCTTGTCACTGACCGTCATAAAATAAAATGTCTCTTGAACTTGAAGCTTCTCAGAACCTACTAATGGCACACCCCTCTCCAAGGAGCAGCAGAATACCATATGAATGTTCTGAGTTAAAATTGCAGAGGCAACAAAGAAAGTGTTACTTTTGGAGGACTCGGGTCATAGAAGAATTCTGTTCTCTGACAGGTTTCCTTGTTTCCTTCGTTAGACATCACTGTGGTCACAGATTCATCATTGCTCTAAAGGTTTAGCATTTTGTCCAGCCTTCCTGACTTTTGGCATTAATAATTGACACAGGTTTTCTAATTGTCCTGTTAATGAGCAACAGGGTGTCTACGAGAAATCTTGTTTGCTGGCGCCAAAGATTGTCCCAGCTTCTTCTCAGTTGGAATATTGACAAAGGATCGCGAGCTCCTTGGCCTCTTGGTAGAGCTCTCCCTCTAGGGTGGTACACAAATGCTGGGGGACAGATGAGTTTGTGGTTCTGCATGTGAGTCTCTCTCCTAAACAATGTTGGTTTTTTGTGTGTTTTTTTGGTCAAATGGGATTATGGTTCTCTTTGAGAGACTGAACCCAAAGTGTCCACTCATCAAATAAACTAAGCCTCTGCCGGGTTTTGTCTTAAAATGCAAACATTTTTCTTTTCGGAAATCTGAAGGTAAAAGAAAGCTTTCCTAAAACTACTAAATATGTCCAGAACTCCCTAAGTTAAACTTGACAGAATGTATTTTTAAGATAATTGACTTCTCTTTTTACAGTATCCCAGTAGTGGTAGTGATTAAAATCAACACACAGGGCTCTGAATGTTTGCTGCTGGGTAGCATACGTTCCAACAACATTAATTAAACAATAACACTTGAGAGGCAGGCATTTCTAGGGATCCGAAACCATTGTGAGGAACTTGGTGTAATACCAGACCTAGCCAGACACTAATCCTCTGGATGTACCTTGTTGCCATTATCACCATTTTTATGATAAAAGGGAAGATACACGGGAAGTTACACTGACATAAATTTTTTTTTTAGCACATGATGAAATCGTAGTTGATATAGCCAGAGTGCTTCCTAAAAACGTATGTCCTCAGCTCATAGCAAGGAATCATGGGCTAGCCATCTTTCAACTTACCCCCTATTTGGTTTATAGTAATAATTTGGTCAGTCATCAAAGCCTAAGCCTTTTGACCTGGCATGGTGCCTCTGTAGGACGTCCTCTGCTCTTTTTTTTTTTTTTTTTTTTTGAGACGGAGTCTCGCTCTTGTTACCACCCAGGCTGGAGTGCAATGGTGCGATCTCGGCTCACCGCAACCTCCGCCTCCTGGGTTCAGGCAATTCTCCTGCCTCAGCCTCCTGAGTAGCTGGGATTACAGGCACGAGCCACCATGCCCAGCTGATTTTTTTTGTATTTTTAGTAGAGACGGGGTTTCACCATGTTGACCAGGATGGTCTCGATCTCTTGACCTCGTGATCCACCCGCCTCGGCCTCCCAAAGTGCTGGGATTACAGGCTTGAGCCACCGCGCCCGGCTCGTCCTCTGCTCTTTTTAGACAAAGAACCAGTTCTGTATGGATAAAATGGTTTGGCATTTTATATTCATTTCTATGGACAGCAGTTCTCAAAGTGTAGTCTGGGAGTCCCCAAGACTCTTTCAGGGGGCATAAAGTCAAAACTATTTTCATAATGATACTAAACCATCATTTGCCACTTTCATTCTCATTCTCTCCAGACCGAACAGTGGAGTTTACCAGATTACTGCATGATGTGTGATGATGTCATCACTCTGGCCGCTAATGAAATGTGTACCTATGTGTTTTGGAGTTTAAAAATGTTTCAGTATACTATTTTTATAACTTTTCATGGTTCTGTAATTCAGAATTAAAACTTTTTACCAGCCTGGGTAATAAAGTGAGACCCGTATCTACAAAAAATAAAATAATTAGCTGGGCATAGTAGTGTGTGCTTGTAGTCCCAGCTTCTTGGGAGGCTGAGGTGGGAGGATTACGTGAGCCTGGGAGGTCGAGGCTGCAGTGAGCCAAGATCACAGCACTATACTCCAGCCTGGGTGACAGAGACAGACCCTGTCTCAAAAAACATTGTTTTTTAACTGTTATTACAGTAAATATTAATAGATATAACTCATATAAAAGCTCTCTGGGGTCCTCAGTAACTTTAAGAGTAGAAAGGGATCTTAACACTAAAACACCGAAAATTATAGGATACATAAATAAGATAGAAAGTTCCTTTGAGAACTTAAATAAATTATTTAACCTTTATTTTCTGTCTTTCTGCCTTATATTTCTTTTTTTTTTTTATTTTCTTATTACTCTTAGTAAAAGCTAGATTACTGGGGCTTTAGCTACATCTGCAAGATACAGCTACAGTGTAAAACCCTTTCAAAGCAACTGCCTTCTATTTCTTGATGGTCTCCTTGCTCAGGAGCAAAGGAAAGTGAACACATGTGTTTGTCTATCCCAAGTCCCTCTGAAGAAGATGTCTAGTTTGTCTCATTCACTCCATCACTGATAATTTTTTCTGTGGTTCATGTAAATAGTCTCTAAAGTCACACATTTTAAATAAACTTTATAAAGATGCAGACTCACCACTTAGGGCTAAGGTTCAAGAAAGGCTAACCCTCTAAGGAGAAGAGTAGCCCTCAGCCTGATTTTAATAATGAAAGAAGAAAGTCATAATTAATCTAGGGATGAAACCTTACATCTGTTGGTGCCTGGAAGTTAAACTATTAGGCTACATTCACATGTAATATTTTTCAACATATGTTAAGCATCTTTTTTACTGTCCAGGGGTCACATTTTCCTATTAAGAAAGATTAAAATCCATCCACACTATAATGTATCTTAAAATTTTTGCAGCCTCTTTTCTGGGCTGCCAGATACCCTAGTGGCTTACAGAGAAAGTTTCCCTTGGAGTGAAATCGTAGGTCCATGATGATGTATTCCTTCAGTGGTGGTGGAGGGATCACATCATAGAAAGGATGGACTCACATACTCTCTACCATTGCTTCCTGTGCACAGTTTCTGTGTTAGACCTCCCAGCAAAATAGCCAAGAAATCCACAACAGCACATTGGCTTGACTTGCTGAGTCACCTCTGGTACTTCCCTTCAGTCTTCCCTTCCCTGGTGTCCTTACTGGTGGATTTAATCCCATCCAGAGAATGAGGTAGAGATTGAGTTGCTGGAAAAGACCTCTTTAATGGTTCTTTTTTTTTTTTGGCTATGTTCTCCTCTTCCAATTTTAAGTAGATCTGCTTTATTCTGATGGTGCCTTCTGTTCAGAGGCTCCAACACACTTACCTGAGTCCTAAAACTATCTCTGTGCTGGGGGAGGTAGAGAGACAGGACAGGCAGAACAGACTGGGGCTGCTAGTCTTTTTCCAGCTGGTGAAGTTTTTATAGGGATAAAGCCTCCCAGAATAGAATGGCCCATTGAACAGCAAACACAAAATACTGGTTTTAGGAGAACATTGTCAGCTATTGCTTTGGCTTTTTAAATTCTTCATGTTAGAAAGAACACGCATATGAATTTAATTTGTTTCTGACTTAATATTTTCCCATTTGAGCTTTCACTATATCTTTTTCTTCTTGAGCAAGCAGGTTCAGGAAAACCCCAGTTTTTGTCTGTCTTCTTTCCGAATCCTTCTAAACTCTGCCCAAAGTTGAAAGGTGATGAGAATTGTTGGTATCATATTATGAAACACTTTGATGAATGGATTTCAGTGCCTATAAGATTGGTGATATGTGGGTTGTCCTCTGCCAGAACTTACTAAACTCTTAGGTATCACCTGTAAGTTTAATTTTAGCCTTGTCGACTACAGACCTTTCCTGTAAACTCTAATTTAAATTTAAGAATACAGTAGTCCCTGTTTATCTGAGGTTTTACTTCTTACTGTTTCAGTTACCTGCAGTCAACTGCAGTCTGAAAATATTAAGATGTTTTGAGAGAGGAAAAAGACAGACCTTATTCACATAGCTTTTATTACAGTAGATTGTTATAATTGTTCTGTTTTCTTAGTCACTGTTGTTAATCTCTTATTATGCCTAATTTATAAATTAAACTGTCAAGGGTCTGCATGTATGGAAAAACATATGTGTGTGTGTGTGTGTGTGTGTGTGTGTGTGTGTGTGTGTGTGTGTGTATATGGTTCAGGACTGTCTGAGGTTTCAGGCATCCACTGTGGGCCTTGGAACATATCCCCCATGGATAAGGGCGGACTACTGCACTGTGCCTACCCAGGGAGCCTTATCTATATGGAGTGAGTAGGGGCCTGTGCTATTGGTGATCCCTACTTCTCTTGAATACTCCTGGAACGAGGCAGCTGATTGTCCTAAAATATGTATATGCATCCAGAATGCACATGTTAACATTAAAATTTTACCTTTTTTGTCCTTTTTCTTACCTTTTCTCTCAACTTTATAGGGTGATATTCATGAGGATTTTTGCAGCGTTTGCAGAAAAAGTGGCCAGTTACTGATGTGTGACACGTGTTCCCGTGTATATCATCTGGACTGCTTAGACCCCCCTCTGAAAACAATTCCCAAGGGCATGTGGATCTGTCCCAGATGTCAGGACCAGGTACTGTGGGTGGGTCCGACGGGCGAGGGGCCAAGGAGGACAAAGACACAGCCATCAGGAGAAATTCCTTTCTCTGGGAATGGCAGTCTCCTCTCTCCAAGTCGGTCTTCAGGCTACATCTTCCCTGTTCATGGCACAGCACTCAGGCACATGGCCTTCATTCCCTCAGAAGTTCTCTGCCATATTACTGAGGTGGATAGACTTCCTTGTATTTGAAGTGACTTCGCTTCTCGTTAAAAGTCAAGACCCTTAAAAGACCATTGTGCCTCATTCTCTAGGAATGGTCCAGACCAAGTATGTGGTTTTAAAACTCTTCTTTGGGAATAAAATCCTTAAGAGAAAGTACCCAGTTGATTAATTAAAATAACATCCTGAGCCAGGCACAATGGCTCATACCTGTAATCCCAGCACTGTGGGAAGCCGAGGCAGGTGGGTCACCTAAGGTCAGGAGTTTGAGACCAGCCTGGCCAACATGGTGAAACCCCGTCTCTACTAAAAATACAAAAATTAGCTGGGCTTCGTGGCAGGTGCCCCAGATACTTGGGAGGCTGAGGCAGGAGAATCGCTTGAAACCAGTAGGCGGAGGCTGCAGTGAGCAGAGGTTATGCCACTGAATTCATCTGGGTGACAAGAATGAGACTCCTTCTCAATAAAAAGAACACCCATTTCACTTTTTTTTTTTTTTGAGATGGAGTCTCACTTTGTCGCCCAGCCTGGAGTGCAGTGGCATGATTTTGGCTCACTGTAACCTCTGCCTCCCGGGTTCAAGCAAGTCTCTGTCTCAGCCTCCTGAGTAGCTAGGATTACAGTGTGCACCAACACACCCAGCTAATTTTTGTATTTTTAGTAGAGACGAGGTTTCACCATGTTGGTCAGGCTGGTGACCTGAACTCCTGACCTCATGATCTGCCTGCCTTGGCCTTCCAAAGTGCTAGGATTACAGGCGTGAGCCACCGCGCCCAGCCCACCCATTTCACTTTTAACCTATTTTGTTATATCACGCTCAGAGAACTAACTGTAAAGTACTGTTGATATTTTATAGACTTAAAAGGCAAACATATTACTGTCCTACCCTCCCTCCTTCTCTGTTTAGTTTCTGATTGCCTTTTCTCAATTATCCATGTATATATATGTCTTTATGATCTTATTATAAGCTGTCTCAAGTCTTTTTGTAGAGTTAGGAAAAGTATAAATAATAAATAAGCCCAATAGCTCAGCAAGCACTGGGATCCTGCTCAGTCTTTGGAATCCTGCTTTGAACAAATTCTGGTTTTCCCTTGTAAGCTTGGCCTCCTCCCGCAGCCTGTGTGGTGCAGCAAACCTTCTCTCACTGTCTTCCTCCTGATGCTCCTTTGTGACCTGATGACTTCTGACATAGGGTCTAGATTATACTTTTGTATTTGGGACTAATATTTAATTTCCTTGGTCAGGCTGTCTTTGAGAGGCATATAAATCTAAAATTGAGACAGACAGTCCATGTCAGGTCAAGGACGAAACTGCCAGTGGCTGCCGCCATCGTGCTGATGTGCAGCTTTTGTGTTGGTGGTTCTAGCTGTCAGGAGTTGTTGGGTGTCGTGTGGCGTGTACGAAAAGATAGGAATGCTCAGCCAAGTCCAAGCTCCTTCTAAGCCTGGGCTCAAGTGTCCTGGCTCTTCCTGCCTTGAACTTCATTCTCCTAAGCTTATATTTGGAACTTTTTAGTCCAGAAACTAGAGACCAGGGTTTTTCAACACTGCTACCATAAATCCTTCCTGGATTTTATCTGCCAGTAGCCACAGACCCCATTGCTAGCTGTTACATAGAGGATATGTGTTTAAACCTCCTTCTCAAAGTAAAATTCTAAAAATCTTTTCAGATGCTGAAGAAGGAAGAAGCAATTCCATGGCCTGGAACTTTAGCAATTGTTCATTCCTATATTGCCTACAAAGCAGGTAAGGAGTTATCCATACTCATTTTTTTGTAAGTTCCCTTTTTTAAAAAAAAAAAAAAAAAAGGTACTGGCAGTATTTGTTTTATTCTCAAAAGGAAATTTAAAGTTAAAAATGAAAACCTTGGCTGGGTGCAGTGGCTCACTCCTGTAATCTCAGCACTTTGGGAGGCCAAGGTGGGCGGATCACAGGACAGGAGTTTGAGACCAGCCTGGCCAACATGTTGAAACCCCGTCTCTATTAAAGATACAAAAATTAGCAGAGTGTGGTGGCGGGCACCTGTAGTCCCACCTACTTGGGAGACTGAGACAGGAAAATGCTTGAACCCGGGAGGCGGAGGTTGCAGTGAGCTGAGATGGAGCCATTGCACTCCAGCCTGGGTGACAAAGCAAGACTCTGTCTGAAAAAAAAAAAAAGGAAAAGAAAATGTTTTGCTCTTAACTATTGAAGGAAACAAACAAAAAATGAAAACCTTTTATTGAATGAAGTGGAAATATTGTGTAGCATTTTCTTTTTATTTATTTTTTGAGACAAGGTCTCACTCTGTCACCCAGGCTAGGGTGTAGTGGCATGATCACAGTGCACTGCAGCTCTCACCTCCTGGGCTCAGTTGATCCTCCTACCTGAGCCTCACGAGTAGCCGAGACTATAGGCGTGTACTGCCATGCCCAGCTAACTTCGGTATTTTTTGGTAGAGACGAGTTTCGCTTTGTTGCCCAGCCTCGTCTCAAACTCCTGGGCTCAAGGGATTCACCTGCCGTGTCCTCCCAAAGTCCTAGGATCACAGGCATGAGCCACCATGCCTGGTCTGTAGCACTTCTTGGGGGGAAAACATGAAATGTTGTGGTATCTCATTTATATAAAGCCAGACCCAAGCCGCTGACAGTTTTCTTGGCATACTGTGCACAGAAGAAGGAAGGGTGCAGGTGAGCACCATGCACCGGCTGCGGGACTCCTAGGACTTTGGGGAAAATGTCTTTGGAAGACATTCTGAGCACAGGGTCTTTTTCAAGGAATTAATTGTCAAAAACTGTTCCTTTTTTTTTTTTTTTAGCAAAAGAAGAAGAGAAACAGAAGTTACTTAAATGGAGTTCAGATTTAAAACAAGAACGAGAACAACTAGAGCAAAAGGTGAAACAGCTCAGCAATTCCATAAGTGTAAGTAAAGCTCACGCCTTCAGCAGTCCTTACATGGATGCAGAGACCTGGGCCTTTCCATGTACATAACAGTACGTGTGGACCCCAGGCTGCCCCGGGTCCTTCTGTTTATTAACATGAGTAATTTGGGCAAATGCAGTTTGCCGTCCCGTTAAGAGTTCAGCCCCCAGGTACAGGCGGCCAGTTGGTAGGTGGTGCCTTACCTAAGCTCTGGAACATCCTCTTGGCTTTCATCTGAAAGAGGGTTCTCAGTCACCAGGCTGCATAAGTAAGAGCTACAACAGTGTAGCCACAGCCCTGCCTATTCCTGACAGTGTGTGGGGGGAGCGTAGTGCCTCACCTGACACTGAGCAGACACAGACCAGGTCCCCTCGTGTGATTCTTCCTAGTCACCTGAGCGAGCGGGCCCATCCACACGGCCCTCCCTTGCTCTTGCTTCCACACCATGCTGATTGCATTTCCCGGTTTTCCTGACCAGTGTGAGGAAGTGGGCTTTCTAGAGACAAGTATTGGAAGTAAGTACTGCCCAGCCCGGCCTGTCCAGGTGGGAAAGAGGGTTGTATTTGCAGCAGGGGGACAGAGACTCATCCCAGGCAAGGAGCCAGCCTTCTTTTCCACAGAGTAGGTCACCCTTATTGGAGTAAAGTGACCTCAGCCCTCACAGATGCCAGCTGGTGCTTGTACTTGGTGGTGGTTGAACTGTCCTGCTTACCTGCTTTCTCCTCCTCACCATACCTACCCATGGCATGCAGATTTAACACCTCTTTCATCTCTTTCCCTGCCTAAAACAGAAGCCAGCAGGTATGGGAGGCTGAGGGCAAAAGGGGAAAAGACTACAAGTCCCTGACTGAGCAGAAGGTGTTCTATTGGTTGCAGGCCTTTGTCCTTTGGGCTTAGATCCTTCTAATGTTGCCGGCCCACCCTCTCACTTCCTGCTGCCCTCAGATGGAATCCAGATAGCACCCTGGAGAGCTCAGTCCAGTCCTGAAGGCCCCCATTAGCATGACAGAAGCGTATCAAAACCTGCCTGAACAGGCTGTAGGGCAGCTGTGGGAACTTTTTTTTTTTAACCTTTGTTTGGAAGTCTGATGGCAGCTCTGCCGGTTTGCTTTTAAGTGTTAGCACTCCCGCGTGTTCGTGCCCGCATGCTCTCTCCCTCTTTTTGCCTCTTGGATTCCCCCAGCCTACCCACTCCACTTGCCCTGTTCCTTAGGTGGTAGCGCCCACTCTGCTGGGGAGCACAGCGAGGCCCAGGGGCTGCACAGCAGCCAGCAGGGGTTCTTCTCCCTGGGCAGAGAGAAGGTGCTCCGCTCTCAGGGGCTGCGAGGCCTGTTAGAATGAGGCGGCTCAGTGCCACTGCCCTTGTCATTTGCTGCAGAAATGCATGGAAATGAAGAACACCATCCTGGCCCGGCAGAAGGAGATGCACAGCTCCTTGGAGAAGGTAAAACAGCTGATTCGCCTCATCCACGGCATCGACCTCTCCAAACCTGTAGACTCTGAGGCCACTGTGGGGGCCATCTCCAACGGCCCGGACTGCACCCCCCCTGCCAATGCCGCCACCTCCACGCCGGCCCCTTCCCCCTCCTCCCAGAGCTGCACAGCGAACTGTAACCAAGGGGAAGAGACTAAATAACAGAGCCCCTCTAGGAGAAGCCACAGGATCCCGGCGGCAAGGAGAGCAGAACACTGAAGACTCTAGAAAAGCAAAGCCGGATTTCCGGAAAGTGCAGAATTCTTTTGGTTCTTTGGTTCCAGAGAGAGAGAAGATGCTTGTGCCAGGTGGCACCAGAGTTTGCCAATTGATCCTTCTTATTCTGTGTGTACATGCAAAGATTGGACCATGTTACATGAAATAGTGCCAGCTGGAGGTTCTTTGCCAGCACCATGCCAAGTGAAATAATATATTTACTCTCTCTATTATACACCAGTGTGTGCCTGCAGCAGCCTCCACAGCCACGATGGGTTTGTTTCTGTTTTCTTGGGTGGGGAGCAGGGACGGGCGGAGGGAGGAGAGCAGGTTTCAGATCCTTACTTGCCGAGCCGTTTGTTTAGGTAGAGAAGACAAGTCCAAAGAGTGTGTGGGCTTTCCTGTTTCTAAACTTTCGCTACTATAAAACCAAAAAAAGGAATTGAGATTCAACCAACCCCAGTGCCCAGAAGAGGGAATGGGAGTGGCTGGAGGGAGCCGGGGGTGGAACAGTGTATCACAGAAGCAGTATTTAATCACGGCTGGCGGGGGCCTCGCAGGGGAGACTGACACCAAGGACAGCCAGTAGGTTCTTCTCCCCCGCGCTCTGCTCCCTCCCCGTGGGAACTCCCCATCCTGAAGCCTGCCCAGCCTCCTTCCTTCCCTGCTTGGTGAATCGCGCATCCCCGTGTTATCCCACTGTCTCCTCTCCAAGAACAAGCAGAGCCCAGGCCGCAGGCCCTTGCCTGGGGCAGGGAAGAAAGATGTGTATGTCCAGGAAGGAAAAAAGGTGGATCAGTGATTTTACTTGAAAACAAGCTCCATCCCTTTTCTATATTTATAAGAAGAGAAGATCTTGAGTGAAGCAGCACGCGACCCAGGTGTGTGTGAATTGAATGGAGACATTTCTTTTCTTTTTTTTTTTAATTTTTGTTTTTGTTCTTTTTTTCTTTAAGGAAAGTTTTATTTTATTGTTCATTTTACTTTCTTGGTAACAAAAACTAAAATAAGGAATAGAAAAGCTGTTTTTCAGGCTGACAGTCCAATTAAGGGTAGCCGAGACCTTGCATGGTAGAGTAGGAATCATAGTGTCAGTGAGGTCCCGTGAGTCTTTGTGAGTCCTTGTGTCATCGTTCGGGCACTGGTTTTTTATGCAAGGGCAAAAATCTTTGTATCTGGGGGAAAAAAAAAAAACAACTTTTTTTTAAATTAAAAAGGAAAATAAAAGATATTGAGGTCTTCCTAGTGTTACTTAAATTAAGATCAAGGTAAGAAACATTGTAAAAAAAAATTACAAAAGTGCTATTTGTTTCCTAAAAACAGTGATTTCTATTAAAAAGGTGTCAGAACTGGAGAAAATGCCGTGTAGTTATAATTTTTTAGCACAGACCCTGCTGATGACGATGACATTTTGCCGTGTGTGTCTCTAGACTGTGGGCCAGTCTCCTTGACGGACAGGGTGGAGCTCCCCACCCTTCTCTCTCCTCAGAAAAGACCGTGCTCTCTTCTTGGTGCAGGGATCTTGTCTCCTGTTGTGAAGCCCAAATGGAAGTCTGGACGGTGTCAGGGCCCTCCCCGTGGTCTTCTTAGATTCTGCTAGAGCAAAAGGCTGGTGCCTAAATAAGATCCCTTCCTTTGGTGCTGCTTTTGGTCTTTCAGCCACCAGCATTATGAGTGCCTGGGGGACACCTCCAAGGGAACTGGCCAGTGGAGCTCAGTGGTGCCCATGCACCCTGGCTGTGGCAGGAGGGTGCGGGAGTGCAGGCTGGCTGCATCAGCCCTTGGTGCTTAGAAAGAACAGAGGAGTGACATGTCTCGAGGGTATGTCTCTGAGACAGAGCCCCAAAGCTCTGTCTTGCTTTTGGGGAGAGGTCTGAAGCTCTCACTCCTTTCTCTGCCTGTTGGCTCCAGGCACCAGAAATGGAATTCATTCCACTCCTCCCACCCACAAGTCTCCTGGGTGACCCTTGGCTAGAATTGCTGCGCTTGCCTTGGCTTGGCCTGTTGTGGCCTCTCCTTCTTGAGAAAACCAGGGTTCTGAAAGGTTCAGACCATTCTCTCATCTTGCCTTGTGGGAAGTAAACGGTGTCAGATGCGTGCTCTGGCTGGAGACCTTTGCCTCTTGCCTGCCCCTGGCTGATGGCAGGGCAGTGGAGGCTCCGTACCCGGGCCCTGCTGGAGCATCTCCCTGAAGCCCACTCCAGGCCCTGGTAACAGCCAGAGTCGGGGAGGGGTAGAAACGGTCCCATTAGCTTCTCTCCCACCCAGTTAGGCCCAGAGAGACAAAGACAGATCTGAAGGCAAATTCAACAGAAAAGAGACGCTTCTTAGAGGAAAATGTGTCTCATCCATATCAGCTGTCGCCATTCATCTTCCCAAGGACCTCAGAAGAGGGAGTTAAGTTTGGCTGAACAGGCCTCAGTTAGGCCCTGGCTGCTTGATTGGCTGACGGGGAGAGTTCCCTTTTCTCAGAAACCAAGGTGCTGTGCCTGGTCAGGGAGGCTTGGAGACGCCTGGACTAGTTGGAGGAATCGGTGGCAGAGGATCAGAGACCAGCAGCAGGCTGCCTGCCCTGTCTAGAGCTCTTCCCCTCAACTTGTCTGGGCCCATCTAGGGGTTGCCGCAACAGTTAACTCTCCTTTTCCTGAAAGAATTTGGGAAGCCATCATCACTAGAGGCCTTTGCTCGGAGAGGAGCTGCCTGAGGAGTCTCAGGGGTGGGGGGATTAGGCTAGGAATTGACCAGGGCTTTGCCTGCCGCCCTGAGCAGCGTGAGTACATTCTGACCTCGCCTGCAGCTGGGCTGTGGATTCTTCCTGACATTCAGATGTGATCTGTTTTGGGAGCCAGCTAGTATGGAGTGCAAGATGCAATCCTGCCCACAAACCTACATTCTGGACTCAAATTCCAAAACACTGCTTTACTGTAAAGAAGAGGCCCCCGGCACTCAATCTCCCTGTCCTTCACTGTTCCCCCAGACTGCCAGAGACACACGCTCGTGACACTGCCCCACCCAGCCACCTCCACTTGCTTCCTCCTCCTTCCTTGCGCTGCTCTTTCCCCATGGCCCAGAATTTAGCTGCTCTGACAGCTACTTATCTGAGACCAGCTGGCTTTGCAGTCACTTCAGAGAGCTGGAGTGGCTGCCCACTGGGCCCTGCCTGGGAGTCCCCTGCCAGCTCCTGATCAGGCGCTGCGCCCTGGTGGCAGTGAGGTCATGTTGCTGTCATCTCCACCTCTGCATTCTTGCTGCCTGCGGGTCCTTTTTCTTTCATGGAGCCTGCTGGGTCTTGTCTCACCTGTGCTGAGCTCATCGGGGTTTTGATTTCTTCCTTCCTTATTAGGCCCTTTGTGGTAAGCCTGCTGGTTGTACCTGACAGGGGTAGACAGCTACGGGCAGTCCCTGGTGGGGCCACCCTGGCAGCCTCCAGCTGGCACCATCGTGTGCCTGGCTTCCCTGCAAGGCCTGTCTCTCTGTCCCTGCTGCTTGGCTCAGGCCCAGCGGGCAAGTGTGCATGGCGCAGGTGCACACAGCTGTGTCTGTGCGGGTGGCCGTGTCTGCAGCACACTCTGTCTCCGCATGCACGCTGGCTCTCCAGCCACCTCTGATACTTCTCTCTTGGGGCTAAGAGCCCTTGGGCTTGGCCCTCCCAGCTCACACACACTCTTCAGAGGTTTCTTCCCTTCATTCCCTTGTAGGGCGTGGTCCTTCTTATTTATCTAAAGGGCTGAATTTAGAAGACTACCCAGAGGCAAAAGGCTCTTAAGGTGATGGGATGGAGCGTGGCCCGGGCATCTTCCAGGGCCTGGGTCTCAGATCCCGAGGCTTCTGTTGAGTGGAGGGATCTTTGCTCTGTGTGGACCTCACCCCTGCCCTTAGCCAGGCACCCCTGGCAGGAAGCAGGGGTCTCATCCTCACCCTGACTTAGACTGTCCTCCGAGTCAGCTCCTCTGGACAGTCTTCTGGCCCCCTCGCTAAAGTGAGGGGCAGGAAGCTGGGGCTGCCCTCCAGAAGCCGGGTAGGAACTCTGAAAAGTAGCTCCTGTAAACGGAAGCAGGGCTCCCCAGTTCCACTTGGCGCCCCCTCCCACAAGGCCCTTCCTCCCTGAGGACCCAGCCTCCCCCGCCCCGCCCGTCCCCAGCAGCCTTTGGGCCCTCACCTCTCCCCGGTCTCCGTGGGTCCTCAGTCCAGGTGAGCTGCAGCCAGGTGGTGGGGATGGGCAGGCCAGAGGTCAGCCAGCTCCTAGCAGAGAAGAGCCAGCCAGACCCCAACCCTGTCTCTTGTCCATGCCCTTTGTGATTTCAGTCTTGGTAGACTTGTATTTGGAGTTTTGTGCTTCAAAGTTTTTGTTTCTGTTTGGTTTTTGTTTTGAGGGGGTGGGGGGGATACAGAGCAGCTGATCAATTTGTATTTATTTATTTTAACATTTTACTAAATAAAGCCAAATAAAGCCTCTTAGCCTCATGGTGTTGGGTTTGGGGCAGGGGAGGGTGGGCAAGACACATTCCAGCGCCAGCCTCTGCCCTCCCTGGCTGGCTGGCTGGTATGGGAGGCTTTCCCTTAAGAGCCCAGGCCCTCCTGTGACCCCAGCTGCTGGATGTAGCACCTCCCTTGTGCACTGACACCCTAGCCCTAGAGCACCCTTGCTCCCCCAAACTAGGAGGAACACAAAAAGGATTTTTTAAAACTTTAATTATGAAAAAGGGATGAACAATTGAAGTTGGGGGAACCAGCCCCGAACTGTCTGGGGCAGAGGGAGGCCAGACCCCAGCCATACAATAGCAGCAAGGGGAAGACCCCACCCCACAGATGCTCCTCCCCAGCCCTTCCCAGAGACCTTAAATAATTTAAATAGCAGGGATAGCGGAGGGCAGGCTGGGTTGCCCTGGTGTCTGCCCAGTGCACAGAGGGGCAGCCTCAGGAGCCTCGGGCAGGGCTCCAGGGCTGCTGCAGGGCTGGGAGGTATTTGAGGGCAGCAGCCCCATAGCGGCGGGACAAGTCCTGGTGGAATTCGTCCTTGAGGGCCTGGAGGCAGCCACGATAGGTGGGGCTGGAGCGGAAGCGAGAGATGTCCAGGCTTGGAGTGTGGGGCAGATGGATGGTGAAGGCCTCGGGCAGCACCAGGAACTCATATTCCTGCAGGGTGGGGCAGAGGAGCAGTGGCTGCCTGGCTTGCCTGGCCTTTGGGGAAGGTGCAGCTCCAGGCTTACCCTGTATACCCAAGAGCTAAAGCAAGGGCCAAAGGGCAGAGGATTTTAGTTCTGCAGAAGGGGGATCTTTCTAACAGTGCTGCTTAGCGATGTGGTCCCCCAGGCAGAGGTGTCCTGAGTTCCACAGACCTGGAGATGCTCAAATCAAAGGTGGTGGCAGCAAGGCACCCTCCTCACCTGGGCATCCAGCTCCACGATGTGGGCCACCTTGTTCCAGCCGAAGCCCACAAATCGAGGGTCATAGCGGGGACAGTCACGTGGCACCACCACATAGGGTTCATAGTTGGCCACCCACTGCACACCGTATGGGGCCTGAGCCTCCCGCCAGCGGGCATAGTCTGTGGGTGCGTGGCCCCGGGGCCACTCGTGGTACCTGTGCGGCAGGGTCGGATGGAAGCCAGGCTGAGGCTAGGAGCTCGTGGACAGCAGGGGCCAGTGTGGGCAAGTGAGTGGCGTGGCCAGAGAAGACGCCCCACCTACCTGAAGGTGTAGAGAGCGCCTGCGTCCAGCAAGGCCAGCAGCTCCACCTTGGAAGGGGGGAAGCTGAAGCGATAGTGCAGGGTCTCGAATGCTGGCACCACCAGCGCTGCCTTCCGCCGGCTGCCCAGCCCCAGCTGCTCAATGGAGGCCCTGAGGAGGAGCACCCATGAGCAGGGGAGAGGAGCGGGGCCTCCAGGACTGGGCCAGTGACCCTCATGGGGTCGTTAGCCATAGGACCTGACCCCTACAGGCCATCTTGCCTGATGCGATGGGTGGGCACAAGCGCAGGTGGAGCTGCTGCTGAAGCAGGTCCTGCCCTCCCCTGTTGGCAGCCCAGAGAAACAGCCTACCTAATACAAATCCCACTTGACAGAGGCCACTGTGGCCCAGAAAGGGGCAGAGACTTAGAAACCCCGGGTCCCGTGCATGCCCTGTCCACATCCACCCCAGACCCACCTGAGGTAGTCGTAGAGAGAATAGGCAGGCAGGAAGTCAATGTCACTGAGGAAGACGTAAGGTGTGAGGGCCTGAGCTAAGGCCACATTGCGGAGCTGGTTGACAGGGTACAGGGGCCCCTCACGGTACACCACGTGGTAGGCCACATCCTGCCGGGCAGCGAGCACTGGGGAGGCCTCAACGAAACGCAGGAACTGCTGGGCTTCTGCGTCTGTCAGGTACAAGGCCAGGCTCATGGGGCCCGGCCAGTGCCTGCACAGGGCTTCCAACATCTGCAGCCTAGGGGGACGGGAGGTCAGCACAGCTGACACAGGAGCTCAGGGAGGCCTGGACAACCTCCCCAGTTAGCTGCTGCCCCCTCCTCAAGTGACTTACTGAGCACCCTTCAAGCACTTTTAGAGCCAGTCTGATTGAATCTTCACAACTACCCCACTAGGTGGGTACCTTCTCCTTGGAGAGAGAAAACTAAGGGCCAGAGATATGAAGACTTGCCAATGGTCCCACAGTGACCGAGGGGGCAGTTCTGGGCATCTGGATGACTCCAGTGCCTAAGCTCTTTGCACCACATCCAATGTCTCCAACTTCTGGAACTCCTTGAGGGCCAGGCAGCTCACTGCTACAGCATCAGGCTGCCAGATGGAACCTCCGCTCAGAAGTATCCAACCCCAGCCCGTGCCATACTCCCTGGGCTGCCCTCTGCACCCTCACCGGTCCATGGACAACTGGGCCACAAGGGTGACATCGTGAGGCTGGGAGGGTGGCGGCTCATGAGGCAGGAAGGTGACGTGCACGCGGTGCACAGTGAGCTGCTGCTGCCGGAACTCAAAGCAGGGGTCTTCCTCATCGAGCTGTGCCAGGGCTTGCTGCAACTGAGGGGGTCAGGGGTGAGAAGGACTGGGGTAGGGCAGAAGGACATGTCCCCCAGACAAGGCTGGGTCCCACCAGAGCAGAGGGGCAGGGGAAGGTGGCTCCCTCTCACCTGCTCAGCACCAGATGGGGGCTGGCTGGGGCACCCAAAGAGCCCTCTCCGCAGCAGGTTCCCATCGTACTCCAGGAAGGTCAGGTAGAAATTGCGGAATAACTTCACGTGCTTGTTCTTCACCCGAAGCTTCTTTGGTGAGTTCCAGTGGATCACCTGGGACCCAGGAGAGTGTTGGGGCTATGGGAGCAGGGAGCAGGAGTCCCCATCCATGGCCCCCCACCACCATGCAGCCTCCTGTCCCACTTACCTTGAGATCAGACGCCTCGGAGTAGCAGCGCTCAGCCAGTGTGTGGTCGGACAGCTGCACATTCCAGACGCAGGGCAGAGGCCGCACCAGCCCTGGGTGCTCCTTGATCACAGCGTTAAAGATGTCCTGAGCAGAGACACCCATCACACCCCAGCCCCCAACCTGCCACCCCCAACCCAGCAAGGCTTCCCCAGACCTGGTCGGCCAGTGAGGTGGCAGGTAGGGTAAGGAGCTCCCGCCTGGCCGTCAGCCTCCACATCTGCTCCCAACCAGCCTGCCGGAGCCGGTCGAGCCGCAGCAGAATCACACCTGCCAATGAGGAGATGCTGTCATGCCAGCCTGGGACAACAGCTCCTGGGGGACACGGGTCATGAAGGTGTCCTTCGTTTTTTGACTTATTGGTATTTTCTGACTGTTCACACATGATTATGGACTACTATTTTTTTTTTTTTTTTTGAGATGGAGTTTCACTCTGTCACCCAGGCTGGAGTGCAGTGACATGATCTTGGCTCACTGCAACCTCCACTTCCCGGGTCCAAGCAATTCTCCTGCCTCAGCCTCACAAGTAGCTGGGACTTCAGGTGTGCGCCACCACACCTGGCTGATTTTTATTATATTTAGTAGAGACGGGGTTTCACCACGTTAGCCAGGCTGGTCTCAAATCTCCTAACCTCGTGATCCACCTGCCTTGGCCTCCCAAAGTGCTGGGATTACAGGCATGAGCCACCATGACCACCCATTTTTTTTTTTTAAGAGACAGGGTCTTGCTTTGTCACCCAGGCTGGAGTGGTGTAGTGGCACAATCAAGGCTCACTGCAGCCTCGATCTCCCAGGCTAAAACAAACCTCCCACCTCAGCTCCCCACCCCCACCCCCACCCCCAAGTAGCTGGGGCTGCAGGCATGCTACCACATCTATTCTTTTTATTTATGTATTTATGTACTTATTTATTTTTGAGACAGAGTCTTGCTCTCTTGCCAAGGCTGGAATGCAGTGGTGTAACCTTGACCCACTGCAACCTCTGCCTCCCGGGTTCAAAGTGATTCTCCCACCTCAGCCTCTCAAGTACGTGACACCATGCCTGGCTAATTTTTGTATTTTTATTAGAGACAGTTTCACCATGTTGGCCAGACTGGTCTCAAACTCCTGAACTTAAGTGATCGCCCTCCTCGGCCTCCCAAAGTGCTGGGATTACAGGCGTGAGCCACCGCACCAGGCCAATTTTTTAATGTTTGCAGAGACAGGGTCTTACTATGTTTCCCAGCCTGTTCTCAAACTGCTGGGCTCAAGCACTTCTCCCACCTTAGCCTCCCAAAGTGCTGGGATTACAGGCATGAGCCACTGTACACAGCTTGCTCATGGACTACTTCTGTCAACAGTCAATCCTCTTGGGGGTGAAGGGGAGGTGCTGCATGCTGTCCAGCTTACAGAGCACCTCCACGGGCTTCTTCTCATACTTGGTGATCCCAGGACTGTTAAAATTATCCCCATTTAGTGGATGAGAAAACTGAGGCTCAGAGGGAGCACAAGAGCTGGCCAAAGTCATCCAGCACACACAGGACTGTTGGAAGTGCTGTCTGACTCTTCATCCAGGGTTCTTTCCACAGCACACTGTTCTTCCTGGGGGGATTCCTAGCATTCTTTGCCCCTTCTGCCCTAGGGGCCCAAGGACCAGCAGACTGCCCCGCCTGCCTCCCCTCACCACTGTCCCCACCTGTGTTAAATCCCCGGCCCAAGGCAGGCCAGGGTCTGTGGTTCTTCCAGAGGTTGCCCAGGTACCAGTCACTCTGGTTCTCCACGAGACCGATCGCCTGCGTGTCTGGGAGGGGAGGGCATGAGGGACCTGTCTGAGGTTGCCACAGGACCTGGGCTCAGGGCTGGATGCAGGGGTCCTGGGCAGGCCAGGCAGGCTCCCAGGCCTCTCACCAGAAAAGTGAGCAAAGAGTGCCCAGAGCTCAGCGATGTCAGAGGCGAAGGTGATGTCTGTGTCCAGGACAATGACGCGGGCCAGCTCAGCGGGCAGGGTGCCAGGCAGCACCAGCTTCATTAGCCCATAGAGGCCGGAGTAGTGCTTGTTGGGGATCCAGGAGACCTGGGGCTGTGTGGGGGAAGGGCAGGGGGTGAGATGGCAGAGAGAGGCCTAGAAGCACCAGAACACATGCTGGGAGTGACAGAGGAGAGGGGGTAGACCCCAAAAAGAGAGGGGTTTGCGCTTCGGTAGGCTGATGGGACTGAGGATTCTCTTCCCCAGCGCCACTATGCCCTGGGAGAAAGGACACAGCTGGGTAGGGGTGCAGAAGGGCCCGGCCCCTGCCTTGAGCTCATCGGCATCGTAAAAGCTGACACGGACAGCAGGCACCATCCATGTATGGAAGAGCGTCTCCAGGATGTTTCTGGCCACAGCGTCAGTCACCAAGTGGAGGTGCAGTGGATTCTTCCTTTTGGGTGTGCAAAGAGGAAGCCTGAGAGGCCCCAGCAGGAGCAACCTGGGTCAGCCCCTATCCTGAGGTGCGCAGAGGCAAAAGCGCCATCTGCAAAGAGCTTTTCCACGCCAGCTCAGGATGTTCTTACAACCGCCCTTAAGGGAGGAAGAGGACACTGTCCCCGTGTCACAGATGAGGAAGCTAAAGCTCTTAGGCCAGCCTATCCAGGACTTTATTCCTTCCCCACTCCTGACTCTCCACGGACACATGACTGTACCTGTAGAAGAGCATGGACTTCACCAGGGTGATGACGTCTCGGCTGGAGTTATGCCCCGCACACACGATGGCCACGTGCAAGAGCTGGGGAAGGAAGCCCAGGTCGGCAGCAGGCCCCCGTCCTCCGCGAGGCGGCGAGGACCCATGGTTGAGCTGCCCCACCCACAGCAGAGCCAGGAAGAGTTTGCGGAGTGGCAGCAGGAGCCAACCCTTCATTTCAAATGGGGAAACTGAGGTCGGAGCACAGGAGGTGCACTTCCGAGTCGTGCCCCAGCCGGCTGGCCAGTGCCGGACAGACGCCAGGTGCTGTGATTCCCGAAGATTTTCCAAGAGGCTGGGCTGGGGGGAGCACCCGCGGGACTCCCGCCGCAGGGGCCGCGCGTACCTACCTCGCACTTGGGCGGCGGCAGCGGCTGCGGGCCGCAGTCGGAGGGGTTGCTGTCCCTGGGTCCGGCCAGAGGGTCTCCGTCGAGGGCGGCGGCTCCCCGCAGCCTCCAGTCTGGGGAGACACGTGGCATTAGCTGGCTGGGGAAGCATCCCGGGGCCCCAGCTCTACCGCCCAGCTCGCGGCGCTCACACCCCAGGTCCCCACCGAACAGGAGGAATCCGAGCAGAAGCAGCAGCAGCAACAGCGCGGCGGCCCCCAGCGCCCGGGGGCGCCCTCGGGGAAGCATGGCCGCCGACGGGGGCGCTCAGGGCTGGGCGCGACCCGGAGCTGCGGCCTCCATTGCGGGCCCTGCGAACCGAGGGGCGAGAGGGGAGGCTCAGCCCTGGGCGGCGGGGCCCGACGGCAGGGTCATCCGGCCCGCGCGGAGCCGCCTCCCTCACCTGCTCCAGCGGCTCCCGGGCCGGGCCCTGCGCTCGCAGCCGCCGGCCAGGGTGCGGGGACCCGGGGAGAGGCGCGGGCCAGCCCCGCCCCCGACCTGGGCTCAGGTTTCACCTCGGCGGGTCTGAGCTCGAAGGGGCGGGGAGAGGACCCCCCCCCGGGGTCCTGTCCCCGCCCCCTGAGCCGGCATCCGACGGTTCTCCAGCCCGCGAAGAGTCCCCGAAACCCCCTCCTGGGCTGATTTTCCCACCAGGAGGAGGGGAGGGCTGGGGGAGCTGGAGCAGCCACGCGCGAAGGCCCGGGCCCCGCTACCTACCCTGAGCCCCGGCCCTGCCCCCGCTCCAGAGCCGCGCCTCCCCCCCTCTCTCCCCGCGGGGAGGGGCCCGTGTCCCGGGGCCCGGGATAAAAGGCATGGCCGGAGCTCGACCCGAGGGAGAAGGAGGGGGCCGGAATGCAGGCCGCGGGGGTCGGTGACACCTGCTCTGGAGATAGGGGCGGAGCCGGCCGACACCTGCCCCGGAGCTGCGGAGCACCTGGAGCCTCGGCCTTCCTCCCCCACCCTCAGTCCAGGTGGCCTGGCCGGGTCCTGCCGGCGCCGCCAGGACAAAGCGCCCTTGTGAAGGCCGCCTCCCGCCTGGGAGCTGGCGAGGGGCCCCAGACGCGGGCGGCCTAGGCCGCCTGGGCAGGGCCGGGGATCCCCACTCTTGTCCAGATCGTCCTGATTGTGCCGAGGTGCCCTGGCCTGGAGCTCTTCTTCCCTCCCTCTCCCCGGCGCAGGCCAGGGAAGGGGTGGGGGGCGCTCTGGATGCTAAACCCGAACAGCAAGCCAGGCCCTCCATTAATCCTATGATGCAGGCTGATTCTCCCCTAGAGAGTTTAAGTGACCTGTTAGACAGGAACACCCTCCGGCCCCTCCCGTCTCCAGCAGCCGCACTCATCCCCCTGCCCCAGGCTGCGCGCTGCAGAAGCGGCTTTCTTGCTCCTCCTCCGGAAGGGTCTCCCGCCCAGGACTTGCCCTTGACGTTCCTTCTGGCAGCAGAGCCTCCCAGGGCTGGCTAGCACTCATGGAAAGTTGAAGTTGTTTGCTTGTTTATTGCCAGTCTCCCTCCCGGAACGTAAGCTGCTCACGGGACTGGAACCTTGTCTGTCCTGTACCCAGTGCCCAACCAGGGCCTGCAAATACCAAGTGCTCACTACGTATGAATGTGGATTGGAATGAGAACCTGCCCTCCTATGACCTGGAAAGGGGGGCTCAGGCTGTGTCCTTTGCCCAACTTTCTGGCTGCAAAAAGTGAGGCAAACTCAGAAGCAGCTGTGGAAAGCAGCCCAGCCTGACACCCCGCAGTCTCCTCCTCTGTGAGGCCAGGAGGCCTTTCTTTGGGAGATGGGGAAGGTCAGGCTTTGGGTCTTTGGAGGGCAGGGATAATGGTTGCTATGGAGACTGACAGAGGCTCCTTGTACACCCGGGAATTGAGAAAGGCCATGTAGGGGCCACTGAGGTGTCTGGAGCGTGAGCCTCCAGCCTCCCTGATCTTCATCTCTAGCCTGAAGCTGGAGTGGGGGAACGTAATTCCCTCCCCAGGGCCCTCAACAGAGACCATTTGTGGGGGTTAAACATGTGGGACCAGGCCAGGGATGGTGGCTCATGCCTGTAATCCCCGCACTTTGTGAGGCCAAGGCTGGTGGTTTGCTTGAGCCCAGGAATTTGAGACTAGCCTGGTCAACATGGCAAAACCCTGTATCTACAAAAAATACAAAAATTCCCTGGGCGTGGTGGCATGCGCCTACTACTTGGGAGGCTGAGGTAGAAGGATTACCTGAACCCAGGAGGTCAAGGCTGCTGTGAGCCGTAATCACACCACTGCACTCCAGCCTGGGTGACAGAGTAAGACCTAGTCTCTAAAAACAAACAAGTCCAGGCGTGGTGGCTCATGCCTGTAATCCCAGCACTTTGGGAGGCTGAGGCGGGTGTGTCACGAGGTCATGAGTTTGAGACTAGCCTGACCAACATGGTGAAACCCCATCTCTACTAAAAATACAAAAATTAGCCAGGCATGGTGGCATGCAGCTGTAATCCCAGCTACTCAGGAGGCTGAGGCAGGAGAATCGCTTGAACCCAGGAGATGGAGGTTGCAGTGAGCCAAGATTGTGCCACTGCACTCCAGCCTGGGTGACAGAGTGACACTCTGTCTCAAAACAAACAAACAAACAAAAAAGACAAACAAACAAACACCTTGTGGGACTGGGTAGAGCACACACACAGTTGGGGGCTGGCCCAGGATGAGTCTTCAATTAAGGGGCTGGGGTGTTAGTGCAGGAAGCTGGGTCTGCAGATCTCACTGTGGTCACTCATAATGCTCGCCCCTCTTCTGGGTCAACCTCACCACTCAGGGAAACTGAAGTGCTGAGGTGCCCACTAGACCCCAAGGGGCTGTTCTGGGGGCATGTAAGCTGCTCACTGGACTGGAACCTTGTCTGTCCTGTGAGGGAGAAAGGGAGACAAGTACGGGCATATAAATGGTGCTGTTCCTCTTGGCCTAAGACCCGCTTTGACTCAGCTCTGCCCAGGACTTTACTGTGTGACTTTGGACCAGTGAGGCCCCCTCTCTCGGCCTCTGATACTGTCATCTGTACCTGCTGGACTGGTCTACCTCTCTTCCCCTGTCACTTGGGGCAAACTGTTGGAGAGAGGTTACAGCTCAACCTGCCCCTTAAAAGTCCTTCCAGCCCAACAAGACGGCCAAGTCCAGGCAGGGGGCCAGGGAGCAGGGGAGGGGCTCCCCTAGGAGCCTCCTGCACACACGGCAACTCTTTGTCTCTGGGCCTAATCAGGACTGGGATCTAGAGAGGAAATTCAGGCAGCCCTGCTGCTGCCAGCCTGGCTGGGCCCATGCCCCAGTTCTGCAGGGAGGGAGGAGAAACTGGTTCCAGCCCCAGCCCCTTTGTATTCTGTCCTGGAAAGTCTGCCCCTCTCCCTTCCATGCTTTGCTCTCCTCTTCAGAAATACAGGACTTCCAGCCCAAGGAGTGCTGAACCTCACACTCACCCGCCTCACTCTCTCCACAGCTGCAGAGGGAAGGCTGGAGGAGTGGCCAACCTGGAAGTTTGGGGAACAAGTTCACTAAGATAGTGGGGCACGGCAGGGCCCAGCAGGACATGGTGGCTCACACCTATAATCCCAGCACTTTTGGAGGCGGAGGCAGGTAGATCACCTGAGGTTAGAAGTTCAAGACCAGCCTGGCCAACATGGTGAAACCTTGTCTCTACTAAAAATACAGGAATTAGTCGGGGATGGTAGTGTTTACCTGTAATCCCAGCTACTCAGGAGGCTGAGGCAGGAGAATTGCTTGAACCCAGGAGGCAGAGGTTGCAGTGAGCTGAGATTGCACCACTGCACTCCAGTGTGGGTGACACAGTGCGTCTCCATCTCAGAAACAAACAAAATGAATAAATAAATAATTAAATAAGAAAAAAAAAAGGCCAGGCGTGGTGGCTCACGCTTGTAATCCAAGCACTTTGGAGGCCAAGGCGGGCAGATCATCTGAGGTCGGGAGTTCAAGACCAGCCTGACCAACATGGTGAAACCCCGTCTTTATAAAAAAAATAAAATTAGGCCGGGCGCGGTGGCTCAAGCCTGTAATCCCAGCACTTTGGGAGGCCGAGGCGGGTGGATCACGAGGTCAAGAGATCGAGACCATCCTGGTCAACGTGGTGAAACCCCGTCTCTACTAAAAATACAAAACATTAGCTGGGCATGGTGGCGCATGCCTGTAATCCCAGCTACTGAGGAGGCTGAGGCAGGAGAATTGCCTGAACCCAGGAGGCGGAGGTTGCGGTGACCCGAGATCGTGCCATTGCACTCCAGCCTGGGCAACAAGAGTGAAACTCCGTCTCAAAAAAAAAATAAATAAATAAAATTAAATTAAAAATAATAATAAAAAAAAGAAAAACAAACAAGACAGTGGAGCAGAGGAAGGGAGAAGGAGCCTCACCTCAAGGACCCTGAGCCCAGGTCCTAATCCAAGTTGCTAACTTGCCTCATGACCAAGGAGCCTCAACATGTCACAGCTCTTGTGGGCTGTGGGCCATAGGAGAGAGGGCACTGCCAACAGAGACCTGCACGGTGGCCCGTTTGGCCAGTGCCTTGTTGTGCCATGTGGGACAAATCCTTTCCCCCTCCTTACTGGGCATCTAATTTCCCATCTGTGAACCGTTCTTAGCAACCTGACGGGGTTCCTGGGAGGAGGGCAAGCGAGCCTGGCACCCAGAGGTGGCCAGAAATGATGTCGATGATGCCCATGACCCCCTCCTCTGTTCTTCAACACCTCTGCCTCTCCTCAGGCCCCTGGTCACCTTTCCCTGGGTCTTCATTCTTTGATGTGAGCGGGCAGCTCTACCCTCCCACCTGATAGAGAAGAAAACTAAGCTGTAGTGTAGGGTGGGGTGAGGGAGTGGAAGGAAGGTTGTGGTTTCCTGGTAAGCTGTGATGCTTAGACCTGTTCTCTAAAAATAAAAGTTAAAAAAATGAATAAATAAATAACAAGAAACTGCCTAGTCTCTGAGGTCAGAAAAGATCAGCACTCAAATTTTAGCTGGGCGTTCTTTTTTTTTAATTTTTTTTTTTCTTTTTTTAAGACGGGGTTTCACCATGTTGGTCAGGCTGGTCTTGAATTCCCAACCTCAGGTGATCCGCCCTCCTTGGACTCCAAAGTGCTTGGATTACAGGCGTGAGCCACTGCGCCCGGCCTGGCTGGGGGCTTTTTTTTTTTTTTTTTTTGGAGACGGAGTTTCACTCTTGTTACCCAGGCTGGAGTGCAATGGCGCGATCTCGGCTCACCGCAACCTCCGCCTCCTGGGCTCAGGCAATTCTCCTGCCTCAACCTCCTGAGTAGCCTCAACCTCCTGAGTAGCTGGGATTACAGGCACGCGCCACCATGCCCAGCTAATGTTTTGTATTTTTAGTAGA